GACAGCCGGGAGAGGCTTTGGCACGCCCACGACCCTCGTGAGTAAAAGCCGATCAGAAAAGGGATGGCTGGTAACTTTGTGAGAATCCAATATTTTTCACCCCCCCCCCCAAAAGAGTCCACATTTTTTCAAGAGCTTTTGAGGCAGTAGAAACCAGCGGTGCACAGAATCCCCAAGTGACTCGAGCAGCTCTCACCTGTGAGCACAACTCCTCCGCCTTTTCCAGAGCAGCTTTCAGGTGATTGTGGTCCGGATGCGATTCGGGAGTGTTTTCCAGGATCTGTTTGCCAAGAGCAGAAGAACAAGGAGTGACACCGCTCTGTGTGTGTGTGTGTGTGTGTGTGTGTGTGTGTGTGTGTGTGTGTGTGTGTGTGTGTGTGTGTGTGTGTGTGTGTGTGTGTGTGTGTGTGTGTGTGGGAGTGTGTGTGTGGGTGCGCGTGTGTGTGTGAAGCGTACGTTCTTGATGATGAGCGGGTAGCGAGTGACTCTTTGCATGGGCTTGAGCAGGAAGCTGGAGAGCGGCATGCCCTTACAGCGAGGGTCCATGGCTAACCTCTGAAACAAACAAACAAACAAACAATTATAATGACTTGCATTCCCGCACATTAAATTTAGTGTGCAGTCAGATTCGTTTCAAGTAAAAAAAAATATATATATATATATATATATATATATATATATATATTTATTTATTTTTTTTTCTTTGAAGAGTTATATTTTTCAGGAGAACGCATTTGTATTTATCGTAGACGTTTTTATTTAATATTTACGTATTTATCAAGACGTATCCGGATTACCTTGAGGAAGTCTTTGATTTCAGGGTTGTCGTCGGTTTTCTGCTGAATCAGGGTGGCTCCGTTCAGTTGGCACGAGCAGAACCTGCGCCAATTGCCATCGGGGTGAATACTCGTCTTTGTGACCGCTGACACCGCGCCTGCGCAGGCGCGCGCAATCACCTAATGTACGGCTGCATGTGCGGCAGCTGATTAGTCAGGATGTCGCCGATCATCTTGACGGGCATGCGGTCTCCCGACATCTTCTTCCTCACCCTCAGCGCTCTGCAGACAACCCCACCCATCCTGGTTACTTTTTAGGGTGGGATTTTGTAAAACTCCAACTTCCGAGGACGACGATCTCACTTGAGCAGCTTGATGTTGCACATGATGAGCTCCTTCCAGTTGACGAAGATCATGGCCACCTCCTTCTCGCTCAGCAGCTCGCATTCCAGCAAAGGCTTGTGGAAGATCTAAACGCACATGTTCGCACAAGCAAAAAATACTTTGCATCGACATCGACATATTACTATGATCACCGTCTGTGTTTTTTTTTTTTTTTTTCAGAGGATAAAGAATATATGCCCATGAGCGATGCGATGTGTTGCGGCACCATTTGTGCACTGCTTTTTCGGGCCATTTGCACCGAGGAAGTACACTTGTTACATATACACAGTACATGTACATTGTACACATAATTATAAATAAATGCATATACAGATCCAGACATATATAAAGTGAGAGCGATAGATAGATAGATAGATAGATCCTCTTCTCCCCACCTCAGTGACGAGTTGCAGGTCGTTGACGTAATTCTCCTCGGTGACGATGAGCTCGTGGATGTAGCCTTGACGTTTCCTCTCCATGGGACTCAGCATGTCCAGCAGGTGCAGATCAGCACACCCTAAAAACACAACAAGATGCACATCAGGCAATATTCGCAGTGTCAATCAAGCCAAAATAATATTGGGATACATACCTGACATCCGAACACACTTCATTCATGCTTCATTCAAAAGTACATACAGTAAAAATTCATTCAAGTGTAGTTGTGTGCGTGCGTGTGTGTGTGTGTGTGTGTGTGTATATATATATATATATATAATGTTTTTGAATCAATGCTATTTCTTCCAAATGACATGTACATTTAAAGGGTACATCAATACATGACAACATGTTCAGCGAATATAATTTTCGGAGAAAAAAAAAGACCCCCCGTTTTTTTTACATTAAAAAATATAACTTTAACGGAACCCACAATTTCACCCCCTGACACCCCCCAAAAAATACTGTGAAGTTTTGGATTTTTTTTGTTTTTTAATTAGATTTGCTTGATGTGACAAGGTATGCATTGTCTCACTTGTCAATATATTTTTTTCATGTTTGATGAATGATGTGTGAGAGGAAGGAGCACGAGTGCATCTTTCAGCGTCTAATCGCCAGGATGCAGTGAGATGCGGCACCTCCCACAAAGCAGGAATCATTCGCGCTGCGCTTACATTCATTCTGTACACACCTGGAAATGTGCGCTCAAGAAAAAGCTCACTGGCTACGGCCGGATTTTCACTGGTGCAACTGAGCACAAGTAAGCGCAAGAATTGCAAGCAGACTTGCATTTTGGCTCATGGGAGTTTATCATAGTTCCAAGTCAAAGACATTCAAAGACCGGTCATCTTAAGTCACCATTCAGCGGGAAGTCCACCTAGGATGCCGGTGGATTCGGAACAACTCAACTGTTTTTTGGATCTTTAAAAAAAAAAAAAAAAAAAAAGTTAATTAATCAGTTGATTCCATTAGTGAGGGTAAAGACTCAAAATCACAATACTGTCATCTGTATAACCAACAACAACAAAATATATGGCAATTCTACTACAGTGCTAGTCTGTTGCTATGGGCACCAAAATCAAGGGGGCTGTCGTGTTGCCAGGGTAACAAAGGTTGCCCCCCCCACCCCGACACTTTTATGCCACCGTTTCTCATGTCACCTGTGTGAACAGATGTCAATTATAAGTTCATGTTGTGACAACACATGAAGAATTTGGATTTGTGATCTGTGACGAACGCTGATTAAATGTCATTAGGGTCTTAAAACGTTTTGCTGACAGGACATTTGCAGGATTAAATTCAACAGTGCCATTAAAAGAATGTGGCTCAAATGCAAAGCCAGTTTGTAAAATCCTGAAGAAAAAAAAGTCAAGTCAAAGGTTGTACTGGTCGTGTGCTAGTTGGCAGCCAGTTTGTGCTGCTGAGGGAAAAGCAACTACCGTTTGGGTGTGTATTTCACACCGCAGAAGTCTAATTGTGAGTAAATGTAGCCAAGAGCATCACCATTTTTGTTTAGTAGGGTCGCATTTGACTTTTTTTTTTAAGAGTGCTTTGACAAAGCATCCAACGCCAACACACACACACACACACTCGCACGCACGCACACAGACCATATAAAATAACTGATCATCTCTTTTATGATGCAATAAGAAACCGTTGATTGGAATGACTCGATCGTACCATGTGTGCATGTAGAACTGTCAAGCGTGTGATCATCATAGCAACAGACAAGCCCATAGTAAAGACGTAAACAAAAACAACAGAACAGTCAATGCATCATTAAATTGTTTAAAATGACCGTGGGTAAAAACAATGTGTGTGTGTGTGTGTGTGTGTGTGTGTGTGTGTGTGTGTGGTAAATATTCCCAAACTCTGTACCATGTTTGCGTGTGTTTTGAGTGCGTGCGTGCGCTCCTTGAAGGGGAGGAGTCTTTGGCTGTTACGTTCCACATTGGAGCGAGTCCTCCAACAGATAGTGGGTCTTTCTGTGAAGCTCTGGGGAGGGGTCGGGTGGGCAGACGCTTGAGTCACAGGTGTAGAAATCTTCCCAGGGTAGAAGTATAAAAATTTTTTTTAAAAGGTAGCAAAGCGTGGATGTACAAAGGAAGATTAGGACCACACTGAAAAAAATAAGAGGCTTAACCCTGGAAAAAAAAAAGCCAAGACATTATGAAAATAGCATGAGAGTTAAGTTATTTTGGGGGGAAACATTTTATAGAGGAATACATTGTCATTCAGGCCCATTTTTTTTTAGATGGAAAAAAATACCTTTTCTATATTTTTTGTTTTCTGGAAAATGTTGAGATGATATATTTATGTGTATATATGAAAAGTTATTTTCTTCAAAACAAAATTATCACATGACTTAATTTGTGTTTTTCCAGAAAAAAAAAATACTGGAAAATACTTTTTTTCCAGTAAAAAGTCGTGCCGGAAAAAAACAACAACATATTCCTCCAAAAGTGTTTGGATTAAAAAAAAAAAAGTATTTTACAATTAAAAACAAGAGCTATAATAATAATATATTTTTTTTAATTCTGAAAGGTTTTAATTTCCAAAGTATATTTCAGAATCAAATATGAGCTTAAAAAAAGTACAACTTTGCTCTCATGGTATTTCTTTTTTGTTGCTGTTGTTCAGTGTGGCTCTCTTCCTTCGGGACAGGGATGAGCTGAGCTGCTTCTAAAATGACACAGTCTCCCGTAAAGCCACAAAACGACCCACTATCCACTTCGCCACCGCACTGCGACTGAGGCGCGCATGTGTGTGCGCGTGCGCGCGAATACTGTCCCAGTCAAACACGTCAACGAGTCCAATCATCCTCGTGTCCTCTCTCTCCTCTGAGCCTCGCCTCTTGCTAGAAGCAAGATGGCGGCGAGGCCAAGCCAGGCGCGCACACGCCAACAGACAGATGCTTAACATTACAGTCAGTCTGGCTTGTCTGTCGGTCGGTCGGTCGGTCGCTGTCTGTCTGTCTGTCTATGGCTTCTATTGGTGGTGGAGCGTTGCCATTTCCGGGTCATGTGACCGCTCGTTGCCGTCCCATTGGTTGAGTGGCCTAGTGGGCGTGGCCTAGTGGGTCTCTTTGAGGGCTTTGAGGAGAGGGGGATTCTGGGGAATGATATGATCCTAGAGAGAGGACGACAACAACAACATCAACAAAAACAACAACAAAAACAACAACAACAACAACAAATTGAGTGCGAGGTGGGCGGAGCGCACGGCGACAGCACACAAGTAGAATATCTAGAGCGGGCCATCCCCAAGCACTGACATTCTCAGGAGTATTGGTTGCATTCACTTTTTTTCTCCCTAATATTAATTTCAACATAGCACAATAGATAACCGGTTAATTGTGCCACTGGAAATAAAATACAAACTAAAAGCAATTTTACAGCTTACATTTGAACTGTTTAGTGCTGTAAATAGTTGGTGAATTAAAATTTGGAATCAGGAAATGAGAATAAATTCTTACTTTGGATTTCACAATTGAAATCAGCTATTTTACATTCACATTTTATTTAGATTTTTTTTTTAGTAATTGGAGAATGAACTAGAAATTATTTCGACAGCAAATAAACACATTTAGATATTTTAAGTATATACACCTTACCACTTTTTACAAAAATTATTTATTTATTCTGTTTAAAATAGGCAGCTATTCATGCATTTTCACTGACATTTAATATCTAACTCCATCGATGAATTATTTGGTTCACTGTTGGAAAAAAAGAAAAAAATCAACTGTGGTCCTTGAGCACAAAGGTGTGTCCTCCGCTAGCCTCAACAGCAAATCAAGATTTTATGATGGCAATTCTTTGACTTTGCATAAATATGGCTTGATGATCTCCGAAATATTCACAATTGTACTGCGTATTTATTTGTATTAGTCAAAAGACGCACGTGTAATTAATGATACGTGTGTGTGCGTGTGTGTGCGGGGAACGTGTTCACTCTAGAATTTCTACATCTATGATGGATGGATCATGCTGGGGAGAATTGGGGAAGTGGATGGGGGACACATGCCGGAAGAGAGAAAACACCCAATGCTACTAAATAGAAACATGCATAAATACACACACACACACAGAGAGACATACACACACACAGCATCCAAAGGCGGTGTGTGACTAAGCTGGGGACGTTATCAAAGAGGCCCAAAGGACGACGAGGTCACACGGTGAGAGAGAGGTGCAGTGTCTCCACACCACAAGCTGGGATATGTGTGTGTGTGTGTGTGTGTGTGTGTGTGTGTGTGTGTGTGTGTGTGTGTGTGTGTGTGTGTTTGAGAGTGTGAGAGTGTGAGGGAGAGAGTGCATGTGCGCGTGTTCGACAGCACACGGCGAGGACGTTTGGAGTCGCTTGTTTTTTTGTTTTTGTGCAAGCACGTGTACTCACACTGTGTGCTGGGGTCCGTGTCGGTGGTGAGCTTGACGTAGTTGCTGGGAAAGAGACCCTCGCGACCGTTCAACTCCCCTTTCCACCAATCGCAGTCGTCCTTGTTGAGCACGGTGATCACCTGACCCTTCTGGAAGGCCAGCTCGTCGTCGTTCTGCGCCACGTAGTCGTACATGCCGATCACCTGGCACACGGCTTCCGCAAACACCAAAAGTGGGAGTGAGTCACACATGCAAGTGTGTATTCTATTGATTAATCAGATGCAAATGTATTCTGTTATTTAACAGTAATGTGCTTGTGAGGTGTAGTATTACTTTTGTCGACTTGGGCTCGCCATTGTAACTGTAGTATCTGTGACTTTGAGTGTGTTAAAGCTTTAAAAGGCGGGACCTGGCCTTGTGAGTGATGTGGGTGTCAGCAAATGAGAGAACGGCTAAACCCTTCCATGTGTGCGTGTGTGTGTGTGTGTACCAGTGTTGGCAGGGACCAGTTTTGGCGGCGTGGGCTCGGTGGGCGTGGTCTTGCTAGTGCTGGGGCTGAGCAGCTTGACATAATTGGCTGGAAACCATCCGATTTGCCGCTTTTTCCCCCGTGCCTGGAGCGCAGAATGTCAGGCGCCCGATGAGGAACAGCATCATGCACAGCGAATGCAACCTAGCAAGGTGCTCTGACCCCTATCAAATCTCACGAGCATGATTGCAACACGTGCAAGGCGCGAGGTGAAACGCATCAACTCATCCGTCCTGGATCACAGCAAAGCTCATTGGACACAGACCATTGAAATCTCACTGAGTCCTAGCTGTCGATCTTCCCTGTAGTTCAGCTCCAGTGTGAACTAAACAAGGACTTGAGACTTACTTCTACGCTATCCCGTTGGGTTAAATCACACCTAGTGTGCAAATAGTCTTCGAAATTGTAGGCTGTATTACTGCTTCGTCTCTTGCTTTCCATGTGGCGTTTTTGTACCTGAAGCTCGCCCTCCCACCAGCCACCCGGGTTCTTCTTCCGGATGAGGATCAACTGGCCTGGCGCTAACGTTAGCTGTTCCGCTCCCGTTGCGCAGTAGGGGGCGATCACCTGGGCGATCTCTGATGAAGAGACGGTGAAAAAAGAAAAAAGATCATGAAGTGGTCAGATCTGATGAACAGCCCTCAAATGCGAGAAAGAAAAAGATGTGGTCACGATTCAATCACCTGGTTTCTTGCCAAGGCTTCCCGTTTTTCCTGCTGCTCCCAAAGACTGGAGAGGGACAAAAATAAAGAAAGAAAAATAGAAACCACCGGCGATTCCGAGTCACACGCTGCTTCACCAAAACATGATCAGCTCATCCCGAGCAGCAGTCCCTCACCTCTGATGAGGCATCTCGCGGCTTGACGTAGTTGGAGGGGAAGACCCCGGTCTTGCCAGCCACCGTGCCGGTCCACCAGTCGCCTTCCTTCCTGGACACCACGACGACGTCTCCTTGCTGGAAACTCAGGTCGCCCTGCTCGCTGCTCTCATACGTGTACATGGCCACGTACTCTATGCAAACGCACACGCGAGAGCACAAGCGAGTGGCACGCATGCACGCAATTGGGAAAGTCTGGCTTACCTTCTCCTGACTCCGAGGGCTTGCACGGGGCGGGTGAAGGGCGCTTTCCGTTTGGGGGACTCTCTGACACCACACATTCACTGGAGGGCAAAGGAGGAGAAAGGAGCACCAATGACTGAAAAGTGACTGTCGAATTGTCGGTTTCGGGACTGGCTTCGCGTCAAGCACGTGTGAAATGAAGCAACCTTTTGCTGTCTAGTTTTCAAAACGAGTCTGTTGCCGCTGGCGATGTCACACTTTGACAACTGACGTAACCCCGCCCCATAGGCTGCTTTGGCACGCACAGCTTCATTGAGCTTTTTCGGATGGCCAGCTAAGCACTGACTTCTGTCAGGCGACACATTCTTTTTTTTTTAACCAAGACCTTGTCGACGTGGCGGTGGAGAGGTTATTTGTGTTTGGCTACCTGTCTGTTGGGTGCACCACAATAAGGGGCAGATAAGCGCAGCAATTCACAAGTGAAATTCGGTAGCTTGGTGAAGAAGTGCGTACCTTGTGTTTTTGCCACGTGCCGAGGAAACGACCGGCGCTGCGATTGGGGCTGCCGTCGGAGCTGCCGCGGCGAGCGCAAGTGGGGGCGGCGCGGTGGCAGAGATGAGCTTCACGTAGCTTTTGGGGAACCATCCTCTCTGTCCACTCTGGAGCTCTCCCAGCCACCACATGTCCTGCTGCTCCAGCACCGTTATAATCTATGATGCAATGATGTGCCATTTAAAAAAAAAAAAAAAAGGAGAACACTACAACACAACTTTTTCTTGGAATCGCGTGTGCCTGCCGAGTGTGCTCAACTTGTAAATCAAGGCACCACTGCATTTGCGAGCCACAAGTTTGAAGGGGTGGAAGAGCAAAAAAGTGGGCGGAACAATAAAAATAAGGAATTTGGTTCCGAATAGCACACGTGTCCTACAATAAGAAAAAAAAAGTTGAGATGATGGTGACCTCATTTTTGTTGAAGTTGAGGTGGTTGTCCTTTTTGGCTCTCCAGGGGTACAAGGCCTGAGCCTGCAGACCCTCCACCTTCTCCCCCTGGCCAAGGACGGGAGACGGCGAGGAGCCCGTGGTCATGGTGGCCGGCGTGAAGGCCGAGCGCTGCCGCAGCTGAGCCGACGGGACGCTGAGGGACGGATTCTGAGCGGCCGAGGAGGTGGGCCATGCGTCCCATCCCTCGCTATCCATTTGGCTGCTCATGTTTGATGGCCAGCTGCAAATGTTCACAACATACATCAAAATGAATTTAGCGGTAATGCGGGCATGTGGGAGCAAAGCGTCAACTGTAACCCTCACGTGGTGCTAAAGTCGGCCCAGTTACTGTTGGCGGACGACGTGGATGATGAGGTCTGCCCGGGCGCGGGCGGCGGCGTGCTGTCGGGCTGCTGGGCCGAAGTCGGCGTGGAGGAGGCGGGCGCCCGCAGGCTGACGGGCGCTTCGCTGTCCGGTATCCGTTCTGCGTAATTGGCCGGGAACCACCCGGTTCGTCCCCTCAGCTCTCCACCCAGCCAACCGGGCTCACCCGTCTGAGACTCGTCCACCTGTCGGGACACGAAAGATGGTGAGGGCTGCGCCAGATGCAAACTGAATCCAGAGATCTGGTCATGTACCAGCCGGGACACGGTGGATCAATGTTTCCTTTTCAAAGGTGCTATGTGCAGAAAAGGAAGAGACGCAAAATAGTTCTGTATGGTAACACCAGTTTCAACAGTGAGTCACGTTCAGTGCATGGGAGTGCCTGTCACAAAATACATGCTTAAATATATATGATCATGTGTATGATTTTTTTGGGGGGGAATGTAATATTGTCAGGGATGTGAAATGGTACGAGTCGAAATATTGGCCTACATCTACACTGTACTGTAAATACAGGAATAATGAATTTCGCAACCTGTGCATATTCATATTTATTACATACAGCTACCTACTTCTAAGATGCAGATTGCATTTCACTGCCTCGCACTGTGACATGTGCAATGACAATCTATGTAAAGTACCACAAAGCCAATTCCAATGAAGTCGGGACGCCGTGTTAGACACAAATAAAATACAGGATAATCGAGCCGGTAGGAGGCATTCAAATGGCGGGTGGATGAACCTAAGTGAGAATGAGCTGAGGTCGCCAACACTGGGCCAGACCAGGCCGGGCACTTACCCATTCCCCCTTCACCTTCAGTTTGCACAGCAAGGAAGAGAGCAAAGCGTTATACACACGCAGACAAACGCAACTAGGAATGTACCGTATTTGAAGCTGTCCCCACTGTAATCGACATTTATTTGACACGATGACATCAACAGTCTTACTAGTTGGAAGCGAGGATTGAAACACTATGAACATTATTTGTCATGTCCTTGTTTAGCGTAGTGTACTAGTGTACTACCGGAGACAAATTCTTTTTTTGTTCTTCATACTTGGCCAAGAAAGATGATTCTGATTCTGCTTTCATCTGACGATTATAGTGATCAAAAAGATCGTGCCCAATTTAATCACGTTTTATTGGTACAGCATTTCATTGATGGGGGGTGCCCAGTTGCGTGCATACTTCGTACCATGATGACGTCCCCGGGGGTGATGCTGATCTCATCGTGGCTGCGAGCATCAAAGGGGTAGAGCGCTCTGTAGTAGACCACCTTCGGCGCCTGCTGCTGCTGCTGCTCGAAGCCGCTGCCTGCTGCCTTCTGCTCAAAGAGGCTCGCCACGGGAGTCTTTTCTGCCGTTCAAAGAATAAAACGACTGACTCACCTCAGTCAAATAACATGTGCAAGTCTAACATCCGTCTCAAGTCTTAACCTTCAAGTTCTGAGTTATTGTGGCAAAGATCAAGCCAGTCAAGAACTTAAATCGCAAGCAAGTCAGGTCAAGGCATGACTCGGGGTCAAGCAAGTCAAAAGTCAAGTGAGACAGTCAAACGGAGGTTCCGGTCAAAGTCAGGTCACGTCTCACACAAGTTTCAGACAAGCAATTTCCAAATCCGATAATTGGCGACTAAACTACAGCGGTGTTTCGGTTTACAGGTGGAATTTGCTCCACGGCCGTGCTCAGAATGTCCAATAGCAGCACGTCGCTTTCAACCGACCTGACAAAGCCCAGGGATCCGTGGGCTGGCTGAAGAGCTTATTGAGTTTCTCCTGCGTGTCCTTCTTTCCCCGGGCGTCCTCATCCTTCTCCTCCAAGGACGCGGCAGTCTTGCGGCCCTCTGCGTCCTCCCCCAGGCCTCGGCTTTTCCTCTCCTCTTCCTCCTGGGTCACTCGGTTGAGCCAGCTGTGCGAGGCGGAAGCGGGGCTCGGCGCCTTCAGGCAGGAACTTCCTGCGTCGTCGTTGCTCCAAGCCAGAGATTTGTCTGAGGACACCCTGAAGTACAGAAGGTGACTTTTTTGTGGCTTGGATATAAATATGGCAAGATCCTCTGGATATGCAGTTCACATATTTGCATTTTTATCTGTGAAAACGCTTCTATTGTCTTTCCAGGGCAACAGTGTCTCATTTAAAACACTAAGTCTTCTCTTGGCACTCCTCTGCTGTTTTGGAGCCCTACCTGTTTTCTTGCAGCTCGGCAGACTCCCTGTCAATGGGCGTGTGCGCACGCCTCATCGAGTGTGCCTCCCCTTCCAGCTCCTTCTGCTTCTGTCTCTGCTGCCGGCTGTGGATCTCTCTCAGCTCCTGCGAGGCGACACGGGTGAAACAGGAACACAGAGCGGTAAGGAGGGAGTGGGATCGGATTGGCTGGTTGCCACGGGTTACCACTGACAACAACAGCAGCGGCGACGGCGGCGGCGGCAACAGCAATATGGATTAGTTCAGGGACCCGTGTGCAGTTATGAAAACCAACTGTGCCATTCGAAAAGTCATCTGTCCATCAGGCAGACTAAACTTGATTAGACTGAGGAGATCATGGATTAAACTCCTCCCGCAACAGAAAGTGAGGGACACACTGTGCCATGCATGCATTTCTGAATACAGTGGACTCCCGCTTATTTGTGCTTCGGCATTTGCAAGTTCACATACTCAGGGATTTTTTATTTTTATTCCTCCCCCCGCCCCAACCAGCCAGATGTCCCCTCAGTCAAACGTCCGCGCCGGAAAAGCAGAAGGCTGTTTTGCTCAGCCAATCCTAAATCCAACAGCGGCCGTGCTAGATTTGTCATTGAACATCAGTGGGAGAAGATGGCTAAGTTAGCGGCCCCCGCATCCGCTGCTTCGCCTCACGATGGTTTAATCAAACGAGGGCTAAGCACGGCATGCAAACCAGTGGAATCCGGAGCAATAGCTCAGCAGGACATCACCGCATCGATTTACATCGTATTGTCACTCGGCATGTACGCCATCAACGTCTTCTACACCTGAGTCCAACGGGACAGTAATTCTTCATCATCGAAACCGTTGACGTATACGTATGGGTACAGACATTGCGTATGTGTGCATTTAGCTGACAGCTGTTTACTGTGGCGTATTTTTAGTCCTTGAAGATGTTTGCAAGCACTTTGAAATGCTATTCAAGTGTAATAGTCACTTTAAAGGCAGCGTACATTCGTGGTGGAAATTTGTTTGCCCTTTCACTTGGCAAACAGCGAAAGGCCACTGTACACTTGACAAGCACACACTGAAGCACATTCAAATTCCCTCTGCTTTGACTCTCCACTGACGCACGTAGCACTGCGAGGACAATAACCTCTTCAAGAGTAATCGGCAAACACTTCACGACTGCTTGCGCCACAAATGAAACCGGAGGACACGGAGATGTGAATAGGCAAAGAGGCGGAAGAGAAAAGATGAAGCAAAGAGGTGAGGAAGGGGGTGAAATGGAAATGCCGGGAAGGGTGGATGTGACGCTAAAATCATGTACAAATCACAACTTTCGTGACGTTGAGGCCACGCGTCCCCCCCGCCTGAGCGCATGTCGTCCCCTGAGCACGCAACAAACACACAGCACACCAGGGTCAGTGCATGCACGTCAAGCTTGAGCAAAGGCGACAAAGCCAAAGCAACCTGGGCCGGTATGTGTTGATGCTACTGCTCTGCTTTTCTATGGTAATGACCAAATTCCTCATATTATCTTATGAACACCGTGGACCAAATAGTGGGAAAATGCAGTGCTTTTTGTAGGCTACCAAAACATCACTGAGCATTGAGAGCCTGTGAAAAGTTATTTCACAAAGACTTAAAGAGATTGTGGGGGTGGATTTGCGCTTGGAGATAGGTCTGCTGTATGCGCCACATGCACTGATCCACACCTAAAGTGTATGGTGTCTACTGTATGGAGTGCTGGCCCCACCACTAAACATGCTTTTAGTGTTTTTTGGAGTGCTGGCTTTGTTTTTTCCCCACTCTGGGCTATGCTTCTGCAAGTAGAAGATGCTTGCTTGGTTGCAATGCCCTTGCTCCAGCGCCGGTTGTCAGGGTGACAAATGGCAGACCCACCATGGGGTATAGTCGAGCACGTGGGGTGAGCCCCTTGATACAGGACAGCCCATTTAAAGCGGACTAAGTTCCCTAAAAATGAGGTGGAAAGCACGCGGCAATTCTCAACGCTTGGGATGTTTTTGGAAAGTGTTTCAACTGTGGGGGGGAAAAAAAAAATCATGATATGTCTCCTTTAAAAAAAAAAAAAAAAAAAGAAAAATGCTCACACTAAAGGATTCATGCTTCTGACGAGTTCTTGTCTATGGCTTTTAAAGTGTGGTATATTTTTCAAATAACTGTTTTATGACCTGGAAAAGTATTTTTTATAATTTGACGTTTTGTTTTTTTTAATCCTCAGCAATCAGGCGGCATCCCCAGTCGCAGTACCACCCCAGTCCAGCAGCGGCAGTGTGCTCTACCTGTCTCCCTCTCTGCTTGTCGTCAAGCTGTCGTCGCAGGGCTTCTATCCTGGCACAGTGGCTGGCATAGAACTCACACAGACACTGGTGTGGGCAATGGAGCAAAAAAAAGGGGGACAATGTGGAAGGGGGGGAATAAATAAAGGAGTAGAAAACAGAAGGAAGTGTTCATTGTGCAATCCTCGCTCAAGGTTGACCGAGCAGGCGGGCGGGGAGAGAGAAGGCGACGGGCAAGGTGAAGACGGGTTAGGAGGCCACAGAAGAGCAATGTAGCAATGCGCTGAGTTTGAGGGGGAGTCAAAAGGAAGATGGAAGGGAGGCGGGTCAAAGGTCATCCTCTTTACTCCACCGCGTAATGAGTGCTGCTGTGAATGTTTACGAGCAACATGTATCCACATCTACGTGACTAGCCACGTTTGATGAGTCTTCAAAAATAAGATTTCAATTTCCTGGGACTCCGAGTCCACATCTGTCTAACTTGCCTCAAACACTGGACGGTAAATGCACCAAAGCCTCCATCTTACCCGCTCAGCTAGTGAAATTAAGACACCTGAATTCTGCAGCAACCACTATTCATATACGATACATACACACACACGAAAACATAGATACACTGATCAATCCATCCCTAAACTTGCTGCGTTAAGAGTGAGTTGAATAAGGAAGTCAAATGCAGACGAGTACTAGTCCAGCGCATCAACATCAACGCAGTGAGGAGGCCCGATGTGGTGAGATGTTTTGATTTTGCTGCAGATTTGGGCAAACACGCCAGACCACGCATGTAGTGTACACGGTTTCGTGTGTTTGTTTCAATCGAGAGACAGGCAAACACGGTTGACGCACAGACCGACGGACAGATGTCAATCCAAAGTAGTTTAGTCTTTGTGTCTACACCTTCAGCTGGGTGTTGAACGCATCAATCTCGAGCAGCTTGGCCCGGGTTTCCCTCTCCACTGTGTCCAACTGCTCTCTGAGCTGCTGTCTGCTGGACTCCTTCTGGTCCACGGCTTTCTGCAGCGATGAAAGACTGTCGCCTGCACACAAAGTAGTGGAGGTCAGATTTTCACCTGCGACGAGAAGAAATTGCTTCGGCCACACACAAGAGGTTGGGAATATTTGGGTTTCGAGATGGCTAAATAGTGCACGGCCACGTTTTTTTTTTTTGTTTGGCTTTTTTTACTACTCACGGTGCAGGCTGTTCTGTTGAACCTGTTTGAGCTGGTCGTTGAGACTCTGCTTGTCGGGAATGAGACTCCCGAGCCAGTGCTGGGAGTCCTGCGGTGACATTATCAAGTGTTGAAGTGGATGGCGCCTCGCCGTAATCAAGACAAAGAGCTGCGTGGGGGTTTTCGGAGCATACTTGCAGCTGCTGCTGCAACAGGGTGATCTCGGCGATGCGCGTCTCCCGGGCCTGGTTGGTCTGCTCCACTTCCCTGCGCTGAGCCGACAGACGGAAGCGCACGTCCTTCAGTTTGCCCTCCAACTGGCTCTTCTTGTCGTTCTGCGGCGCGGAAGGAAGCAACTAATTGCATTCATCTCATCCAAAAGTCATTAGGCTGAAGAAAACACACAATTAGCTGCACCGCTCCTTCCTGATGATGAGTTCTGCATCATCTCCAGCTTGTTGTGTGGTGTTGGATTACCAGGGCCTCCAGTTCAAACTCCAGGGTCTTCTTGCGGGCTTTGAGCAGAACGATGCTCTCCTGCTCTCGGTTCCTCTGAGTCAGAAGCTCCTGGCGGCGCTGCCGCTCCCACTCCAGCTGCCTCTGTCGCTCCAGCTCGCGCTTCGCGGCCTGGACCACACATGGGCAATACATTAAAGAGGCCGTTGCGGTCTACCTTCTTGTGCCGGCAGAGGAAGGTCGTGGAATAGTTTATGGAGTGTAGGTGGATGAAGATGAGTACTATCTTGTATCTGGATTTAAAAAAACAAAACTCGAAATTGGCTCACTCATAAATCAAGGTAGCACCACATAGCTTTGGTGGCACGCCAAGAGACTTTTCCAATGAGAAATATGTGACCCGGCTCAATACGGGTGGAGAAAAGCAGCATTTAACAAAATAACACTGGCGCTGCGTTTCCATCTCACCTCCCTCCTCTCGATTTCTTTACGTCTCTCCTCTTCTCGCTGCCTCTCCAGCTCCCTCTGCCTCTCAAGCTGCTTCTCCAACTCCTGCTGTCGCCTCCTCTCTTGCTCCAGCCTCTCGCGCTCCTGACGCGCAAGAGAGACAAGAAAACCGGCTCTTATTTCCTCCGGCACCTTTGGCTTCCTAGCTTCTGATTCCAGTGGTTTGCGGTGAGCGACCTTCCTCTCCTGCTCCTCTCTCTCCAGCGCCGCGAGCCTCTCCTGTTCTTTCCTCTGCTGCTCCTGCAGGGCCTGACGTCGCTTCTCCAGCTCCAGGTTCCCTCGCTCAAAGTTCTCCCGCTTCTTATCCTCAAACGTGACTGTGGGGGGGCAGCGAAGACAGAGTAACGACAACGAAACGGTCAAGTGACAATACAAACGCATCTTTTTGAGGATTGAGAGAGTCAGAAACAAGGAAGCTGGTGACTTGAACTGCGTCTAGTTTGTGTCATGTCACTCATCGGTGGATTCTATTTTAGTTGCGGCTGAAGCAGTTCCTTTGTTGTCACACGGGGGCCATCACCACCACGTGGAGACGCACTTTTATAGAAGTGAAGAACAATTGCAAAAAATGCATGGTTCAAAAGCATTCTTCAAAACATGCGTGTATCCTCTTCTTAATGTCCAAAGTTCCTTTCTGCGCACCTTCTTAAGAAACTCTGAACTCCCGCTCAAAGTCGTTCAATGGGCACTGTTCCAAAGCTCACAAGCTCATTTGTTGCTTGTACTGTCAAGCGAGGACCTGCTCTTAACTTCCACTCGGTGGTGAACAACTCTTTTCTGGCCCCCGGTGCCACCAGAAGAGAACTTGCTTGGCACGGTGCCACTGCTATCCTCTCGGTGGCATCGTGTTTAAAAACTGGTTGCCATCAGTCAAACACCTGATGGAGGCGAGACATTTGCCAACCTGGAAGTTTCTTGTCCTGGTTGCTCTCCACCTCCTCCTCGAGCTCCTCAGGGACGCTCTTCTGGTCCGACTGCACGCTGTCGCTTCGCACACGCCTGCAACAGGCAGAACACAAACGGCGCCTCAGCCTTGTCGCCGATGTATACACAGCAATAGATGACCCTATTTAAGATCGTGGCAGGAACAAGGAAAAGAGTCCAGCAGTGCACAAGGCTGATGTCGCAGTAGTTGTCGAACTAAAGCAATTACTCCATTCTACCTTTGGGCCAATTAAAAGGTCGAACGTGATTCTGACCATCACCTAAATCTGACATCTCTGCATGAATTAAGTTTTGTCCTCCCCAGAACAAAAGGCAGTTTACGACAGGAATAAAGTCCTATTGGATTCTTTGAACAAAAGACACCTTCCAGAGAATTAAAGGTGCAATACTACAGTCAAGTTGTATTCTTGAAATCCACTTGGTGAACTCTTGACTTCTTAAACTTCAACTACAAATGCCCAAAAATACAATCGATGATATGACATGCACCTGAAAGTCGGGGGGATGTAATCTGGTGGCAGCACGGGGGGCAGAGGCAGGCCGGACATGGCCATGTCTATGAGGTGCATGGCCAAGATGAACTCCTCCGCCGTCAGCTTCCCATCTTGGTCGATATCCGACAGGCTCCTGTCCAGAGAAGACATTTTACGCTGCGGTTATTAGCGGGCCGAGTTTGAAATGAGGCGTCGAAATTTCAAGTAGTGACCATATGGAGGCCAGCTGGCCCTGCGGAAGACTGGACTGCATGAGGATGGTGCGCGCCTGCGGACCTGCACAAAAAGCAAAGGGCCAAATGCCAATCAATGGACACGCTCCAGGCGCATACGAAGGACAAGTTTGTCGGCGCTGGAGAGCGCACCAGTCAGGTGGCCGCTCATCATCTTGTCATGGGAGTTAAACAGCTGCCTGTATTTGAGCCTCGATGACTGAGGGACGGCCCAGTCGACGGGGGGCTGACCACTGCCGAGACAAACCGATCAGGATTGGATCAATCGGAAGGGAAACGGAACCGAAGCGAACGGTTCAGACATTTGCAGCGACCTACCCGCTGGCATCGAACGACGGACCCTTTTGCAATTTGGTGCCGGAACGGTTGAAGGAGGCCTTGTTGATTGAAGAAGCTGTAAAAAGGGAGGCACGCTTTTGATCACATTTTAAAACAGTTGCCAGATGTCCTCGTCAAAGGTCTGCCGCACAATTGGGTCAAAAGAGCACAAGAATACAAAATGATTGGACTTTGTTGAAAGGAGCCTGTTTTGAGGGGGCGGTCCTGTCTCAGCCCAAAGGCACGGACGGCCATGATTCAATACCAGGGCGACTTGGTGAAGGAGCTCGGAGCGGTGGCAAGCGGAAATTGCATCGCGCACGCGAGCTCCCATCGAGACAGATCAATAGCATGATTTCGATTGTCCCCGGTGCAGCCACCACTTTATCACCAAGACGCCAAATTCAAGTTGTTACTCGCGTCTGACCTGCGTATTGGCCGGCACCGACACCCTTACGTTTTGCTTTGACAACCAAAATGATAGTAGACATTGATTTGATTTGATCTGATTGATGGAAAAGTTTTGGGGGGGGGGGGGGGGGAGAGAGTTTTTTTTTTTCTTTGTGATGAGGTAATAAAATTTTGGGGGGGGGGGGGGGGAAACAGTCGAGAACGACATCAGTCTGTCTAAAATATAAAGACAATGCATCCATTAAGCGCACACATCAAAAGGCATCGCCTGGCGCTGGTGACAATATTACCTGGGTGGGAGAAGCTTGAAATGGGTTGCATCAAGCCCGTGGTAGGAGCTCCGTTGGCCATGGGGGGCGGGAGGGTCGGCGGCGGCGCCGAGACCAGAGGCGGCGACACCCCGACAGGTAGGGGAGGGAGCGGGAGAGGCGGCACGCCCGGCAGAGCCGTGGCGATGGGCGCCATGGCGGCCATACCTGGAGGCGGGAAAAGAAGCACGGAGCGAGCGCATCTACGATGTGTCATCGACATATGCGGAAGAGCCTTACCGAAGCCGGCCTGGGCGGGTAGAGACAGCGGGGGCTGTTTCATACTGGGGGGTAACGCGGGAGGAAGGGGGTGGCCCTGGAGTTTGAGCTTGATGAGCTTCATGGCGATGGAGAACTCGTGGATGTCCATGCGGCCGTCACTGTTCATGTCGGCCAAGGCCCTGGAAGCACAAAAAAATGCATGTGAGCGACGGTCCTGAGAGAGGAACGACTGCTTTTGAGCAACAAGTTCAAATACACACACACACACACACACACACACACACACACACACACACACACACACACACACACACAAAAAGAGAATAGAGTGACTGGTGACCCAAGAGTCTCGTCAGAGTCTCGTCAGTGTCGCTGAGCTGACTCACCAGATTTGGGCCAGGATGGGTGGTGGCAGTCCAGACTGCAAGAAGAAGTTCCTGGCCCGATCCCCTGAAAATGTCCAAGTGCGTGCGTGCGCCCACAAAAACAAACACACACACACACACACACACAGGAAGTGAGCAAACGTCATCACACAATAGACGACCTTGACACAGACGTGCAACTGAAGGCGTGTGGCTTCAGAACATCAAGTTACCCGTGATGTATCCACCCGCGGTGGGAGAGAGGCTGTGAAACTGTTGGTCATGTTTGGCTCTCTCATTCACAGAGATCAAGAACACATCCGGACCTGAGAAACACGCACGCACGCACAAAGGACAGCCAAGATGCGGAGCAACGGCAGAGAAAAGGGGAAGGTATGAGGAGAATGCATTAGTCATGCGTTTCACTTCCTGTGGTGAGGATTACGTTGGAGGGACGGCAAGACGAGAGGGCGTTGCGTTGACTGACCCGTGAAAGTGGCGGAGAACTGTGCCATAGTTCACTCCGGCTTCTTCAGAAAGACCACCTGTACAAATAGCAAAAGAAAGACATTTCAAGCCACCTGTCTTTTGGCATCGCTGATGACGTCGCCGTCCAACTCGCCTGACTTATGCGCGGGCGGCGTGGGCTCGTTTCCTGCTCAGTGAATGCGTGGACGTGATTGCTCCTCCGTCTCTATGCGTGCCCTGCGACCGGCTGGCGACCAGTTCGGGGTGTTGTCCGCCTTCCGCCCAAAGTCAGCTGGGATAGGCTCCAGCACCCCCGCCACCCTGTTCAGGACAAGCGGTGTCGAAAAGGACATGACGCGACCTGTCTTTCGGCCAATGAATGCTATTGCACAACATTGAACTCGCACGCATTTTGCTTGATTGCGCATGAAGACCGGAGGTCGGTGGGCCACAACCAGCCCACCCTGCTGTTGAATCTGGCGCCCTGCGTATTGACCTTTTTTTGACCTCATGGAAGAATGATGTAGACCGTTTGTCTAGGTAAAAAAATAATAAAAATATGTGGCCCTTGAGCAAAAAGTTTCCCCACACCATCATAGAAAACGAGAATCACACATGAGCTGCCATCATACAGACTACTATAAATCAATCGTATCAATTACGTGCATAAACCTATCGAAATCGGTGGTGCACACTAGACTGTGTTGTCATTCACCAGGATAAAAACAAAGACTGTATGCCACTCTAAAATGATTTGAAAAATGCAGCCCGCGCCTTAGCAAGCCAATGACACAACCTTGTGCTTGTGTGTGTGTCATCATAACTCTCCAACGAGTAGATATGTTAATCAGATCCAGACCCCCACCCTAACCCTCAAAAAAAAAAATCACCAGAGGCCGCAATAACTTGAAGCAAAGCCACCGCAGCTGTACACGAGCGGCGTGCCGGTCAAAACAAGAGAAACGTCAAACGTCAACCCGAAATGCTCAAAATGTCAAGAAAGCAGCGGCGTTGCTCTTCTTCGGCCGACGGGGGTGAGTGAGACTGGGCGACGGTCTTTCTAATCAGAGCTGGAGGACAAAGTAACCCCTTTAAGTGGGTCAGTGAGACAAAAGCAAAATCCACACCCGATTACAGTTGCGAGAATGAGCAGCAGCAAGGGGGGGGGGCTACAGCAGAAGGTTTTCTGTTCTCAGGCTTTCAAAAGAATGCTCACATTGTGGCGGTGGCGAAAAACACACGTGTGTACACCGGAAAAGGAGCCAGTGCATAAAGCGGCGATATGCAAGTTTGAATATAAAAACAAACAACAACAACAACAACAAAAACATTCACCCAAACATTTAAGCCCAATCACACACACGCACACACATAACATGACAGCGGTCACGGTTTTAGACCTACTCTCTGCCCCCTTGCTTGCCCCGATGACCCCTTCTTGCATGCAAATGCTTTTGGTTCGAAGAAACACGAGCGACATTGACGCCCTGGAGAGGCCGATCGCATGCGATCGCAGGCAAACAGCCAGCAAAGATGTCGGTTGTTAAAAGATCAACAAAAGGCCACGCTGATTGAAAATAGTTGAGCTCCGACTGCAACCGGCTGCGAATGGGAGCCAAGGAGCATCTCCCCGCAGCACACCACGTTTTGCTCTCATTAGCATGGTCCGCGACTACTTTGATAGCAGTCGCGATGAAGATCATATGTCATTCGCGGCATATCTGACAGCTGGAACTCTGTCAAGTATGTGCAAATTAAAAATCAAGACAGTTTAGACGACAGTACATTCAACGTGCATTAAACTTTGAAGCTCGTACATGTGGCGACACTGTGGCCTTAACATGGAGTGCATTTTAAAATGGAAGGGGAATCAGATGAGTAAAATTAGGAAAAGGCACATCGCTTAAGAAAACTAAAATCAACACTCACTCTCAAAGAGGTACGCACGTGAAATCCCCCAAATTCCTGAAAGACTCAAGGGAACAAAGGCATTTTTTTAGCACTGTCACATAAGTGGAGTATCAAGGTCACGTTGTCAAGCTTTGAATTCAAGAAAATCCTCAAGTGAATCGAAACTGCAATATTTGCCAGGAAAATCGCAATTCAATCTTTTCCTAAAACGGTTGAGCGGTGTGCTCGCTTCGCTCCAAATAAAGACGAAATAGCATCGAAGTAGCCCCAAAATGGCCTGCGCATCGCTGGCTGGGGACCATTGATCGAAGGAGCTGAAAAACATTTCCCAGGTAATGTATTGGAATTCGGCAGCGGATATTCCGCATGTATCCAATTCGGAATGGATGGATTCCAGGTGTTGTTGTGTGACAATGTCATGCTCAATCACCCTGTAACGGTGCCAGCGTCACAAAAGTCCAAAGAAAGAAGTGAAACAAACTTGCCAAGTAGCAAGTTCCTCGTCACCATGGTCACTGAGCCGGCGTCTTTTGGGGGGGCGGATTTATCCATGCCAACCACGCATAGTGACAGGCAAAACTACGAAATGTTCTGTTTGTGAGTCGTGATGTGCCATGAGATTCCCCCCACTGAGATATAAGCGCCTTGGCTCCATAAAGGTTTGGGAAATACTGGGTCCTGACTACTGCGAGCCACCTCCCGCAGCGTTGACAGCATAGAAACTCTCCACACGCCACAATGCCACTCGGAACACACACTGACACTCACGTCTCACTTTGCCC